GTTTTCCTGTTCGGGGGCGGGGCCCCCCCCCCCGCATCTCGGCACCCGGGGTAGCTGCACCGGCTGCCCACCCGGTTGTTACGCCACTGGTACCAACTACAAGCTCCCTGAAGAGAACTACAGGGGGTGGACACAAAATCAGTCACCCTACCCAAGCAGCAGTGACTAGTCTTTATAACAGGAAGCTCCTTCACAATGCAAAGTTTCATGAATTACTGCACAGATCTGGAAGAAATACACAAAGCACACTAAGGTTCAAGGAAAAAGACACATGGCTCTTGTATTTAGACCATATTTGCTTATTCTGTAGTTCAGGTTTAATTGTAGGTTATCATGGGGCTCTTGATCATTTTTTTCATTGGGGCCTAGAAAGCCTTACCTATGTTTGTGGGTTTAATGGTACAGTACATGAAACATTGTGTTTAGCATACTGCATTATAGTAGACATTACTAATAAATGTACTCATTATTTTTGGAGTATTATTTGGAGTGTAAACAAAGTAACTTCATGCTTTCAGGTGCAGCAGCTGTATGTTTCCAGTTAACTAGAGTTTTATTTTACATTCTTGCTGCTACATTTGGTGTCCATTTAGGATTTTCCTCAGCATGTTCCTCACTCTTCTGCCAAACCTCCTCCTAAACTCTCAGCTTTGCTGCAAAATCCCAATCATTCCTAATCATTGTAAGTCATCCAGTTTTCTCCTAATGTGTACTCAAGGCCTTAGTTAACCATCAGTTGTCATCCATTGTTATCCTCTAAACCTAATTCAGTACTCATCCTAACCTCCTTCTTTTTCAATATGCTTATTGATTCTCAAAGGAAGGGAGATGCATAGGGGCTTTGACAGGAACATGCAGTATAAGACATGGCGAACGTGAACATAACACATAGTCAATAACATGGGGTGGGTGATTGTCATGGAACCAATATGTTCTTGTTCAATCAACAAGGCTATGTCAGAATAGTTAGTATGTATCTAAAATAACGGTGGGTAAGGATAAAAAGAACAGGAGTGGGTAGGGGTGTCCTCTGGGGGCTTGGTAGATGCAGTAGATAGCTAATTTTCATATGTAGCTAAAATGTGATGGGTTCAATGTGGAAATTGCATGTTGTATCCAGGATTCAGGACAGATTTTAAGGAATGTTTTGCTAATACTATCTGAGAATATTGGTTAGTTTCTCATTTACCTTAGAACCATTGTTTTAACTTCCTCCAAATCTCAGTCAACCCTCATCCAAGTAAACAGGAGCCCTCAGAGTTAGTAATCCTAGTTGGGTTAGTGAGGTGTCAGATTTAGATGCCTTAGAGTCAAGTGTCATACTCAGATATACAACACAAACAGGCACTCAGGCTTCCTGCTGGTTTCTTATTTAAGAGCAAGAAAGGCACACTTAAACATTAGAGTATATAAGAACACTTGTAAACTGTGCAGTTCAGTGGTTCACTAAGAAGTGCTCTGCTAATAACAAATCTCTCCAGTGTTTTGGTTTTTCACAATGGAAGCTGGTTCTGTTTTAGCAAGAAATAACATTAGTAGACATGGGTTGCAAATGAAAATATAGAGGCACTGGAAGTTTCACACCCCGTGTTGTAATGTAGAGAAAGGAGGTATTTCCACAGTGGGGTGTGCAAATGCCCAAAGGGAGAAAAGAAAAGGGGCTTTTTAGAAAACAATCCCAGACCTCAAAAATAAAATCTTAGAAAAACATTTATTTGAGATATCATTTTAAACATTATTAAAAAGCAAAAGGTCAAAGAAAAATCACAGATAAAAACATATGCGGATGCATTCACCATCCGGTGACAATACCGTACAGTTATTAAATCTGCAGTTGCTTGTTTTCAAAATTATATGAGTGCTCCTGTATGTCCAAACATGTTTCGCCCAAACGGGTTTCTTCAGGGGAAGAGATCAGGAGAAAAATATATGTGTCGTGCATATATCTTCACGTTTAGTTGATCAGAAGCATAAGCACAAGAATGTGATGTAAGCAACTGTGTTTGTATTCAGATAGAAATTGATTCTGTCGAGCAAAGATTGCCACACACGATGCAAGTGGGGGGGTCGCGTCGGAGAGAGCACACTGTAGTCGTCAGGCGAGGTGCAGCAACAGCAGACGTTGTTAAATTGGAGGCTATAATGTTCTGCTTTTGTGCTGTAGTGTGTTGCTGTCTTTCTCCCAGACGTCAGTGGTTCTGTTTTAGGAATTTTTACAAATCACAACAGAAGGATGACTTAGGAAGGTGGGCACATGATCTTGATTTGTAGCAAGTTAATACAAGTGATGGAGGATTTGGAGGATTGCTAACAGAGGGCAAACAAATAAAAACAGTGGGAAAGACTTGTGACTCCGTTTTGCAAGAAAACTAATTGTTTTTAGGGAGTGTGATCAAGTTGGGGGATGGGATTTTGGAAGAAAAGCATGTTTAGGCATATCCTAAAATGGACACCATAGTAATTAGACTTGTCGTTGATAACATCGATATCACACTCACACACATATATCACTATTAGGTTGGAACAGAACATCACAGTCACTGGATGCTTCAGAAGAAAATAATGATGGATGGTCCAGTGGGGAAGATCCAATTAATTCTTCTGATGCTGAGGAAGAAGGAGGAGAAACAGTGGATAAAAAGTTGGTAAGATCCATGAATATGCTACATAAACTTAACAATGACTTTTATTAACAGTGCTTTATGTAATATTCCTTATTTTTTATTCTAATCTGACTTTTGAAAACTGTATTTTACACTAGCAGTATGAATGAAAAATATGCATTTCACGTATGATCTAATGTTCAATAAATACATACTACTAAATTAAGAATAATAGCTAAGCTCTAAAGGACTCCACAGTATTAACAATACCTAAGGCTAGCCAAAGACATGAGATGGCTGTTGGAAAAACCTACCATCAATTATTTTGCCAACTACAGCTATTTCCATAACCATGCAGTATCTTTTTGGCTGAACAGAGGGGTAGAAAATAGCAATTGTTTGGGGAAATCCATACCAAATAATCAGTTCTTCTGCCCCTTCAGATTGGCCAGCTACTGCTTATCTACAGAGGTCACAGTGCACAACATTGTAATAGAAAACAATAGATAGGAAACAAAGAACGAAAAAGGGCGCCTCCATAGTGTAAAAATGTAATTTAATAATAAAACACGCAGCTCTAGGCTGTACTTACAAAAATTCAATGGAATAAAAGCGTGTAGAATTCGATGGGAAATCGAAACCTCTAGCAGGGAGAGTCTGGAAAGATGTCATTCACCAGCGTCCTCTGCCCCTATGATTTCAACAGGTTTACACGTTTCTGGGGCACGTCCCCTTCATCAGAACATATGAAAAACTCCCCTGTATCCTGCTCTTAAATCTCAACAGGGTAGATCACATGGAACTTTAAACCAATAATCCGTCGCCAGGTCATTGCTGAAAGCTGATAATAGTTATTTAATTAGTAGTCAGCTCAGTCTAAATTCCGATTTGGTGTCTATTGTAATATCTGCATAATTAGAGTACAGATCTGGGGGAGATGCAACACATCTCCAAACTTAAATGGAATCAGCTCAATATATAAACTCTAGCAGACTCTCCCTGCTAGAGGTTCCGATTTCCCATCGAATTCTACACGCTTTTATTCCATTGAATTTTTGTAAGTACAGCCTAGAGCTGCATGTTTTTTATTATTAAATTACATTTTTACATTATGGAGGCGCCCTTTTTCGCTCTTTGAGTGGGTAAATCCTGGTGAGTTTTTTCTTCCCCAATACCAATAGACTAAGGCCTCATTCACACTGCCGCGCATATATGCGCGTACGTGCATATTGTACCAAATGCAGCATATGCAAATAAATGGCTCCATACACATAGCTGCATATAGAGTCGTATATTTGCGTAACGTAAAAATGCGCAAAAACAGAATGGAACCGAGATGCGTCCGAGCAGCGTATTTCTGCGTATTTTCCGCGCATATACGCGTATAGTTCACAATAATTTCTATTACGAATGATGCATTCTGGGATTGCATATAGAGCACGTATAGACGCACTTACTATATATGCGTATACATACGCGTGTATAGGGAATATACAATTTTGCTCTTGCGTTGTGTGTGAATGAGGCCTAAAAACTTCAGAAATTGCCTTTTGTTATTGTAGTGCCCTGGGAAATATACAGTAGTGGCGGATTATGGAAAGAATGGTTCAGATGAGCTTCTGGTGAGAAGTGGAGATACAGTTCAGCTTATACGTGAAGAGGAGGAGGGAATGTGGTAAGTAGTAGTGTCCTGTCACTACCACTATAAACCTTAGAATGTTAAAGAGACCTAGAACCTTCTGTATTCTTATGTCATTTACTACAGTGTACCCCAACTTCAGCATTTGGTAGGTCTTTAGTGACAGAAAGATCTAAAATAATATATTTGTGGTTCTGATGTGGAAAGTATCTACTGCTTGAATGCTCACGCAATTAAATAGATGGACCACCACTGCTGTTTATAGGAATCTGAACTTCACGTAGAACCTTGCTGTTCAAGCAGCTTCCTCAGGGATATGAATAATTAGTAAGAGCAGACAGTTTAGTTAGCAGTTGCAGTTATGTCCTGTGCTGTACCCGTGCCATAAATCTTCACCAGTACACCTAAATAGGTCTTTTGTTCAAACTTCGAAAAAGGCAATCATTGCAAAGCAACCTTTCGGTACTAGGCAGGATTCCTTTGTCAAGACAAAATGATTGCTGCATGGTCTAGAAATGTTAGTTGGTGATGATCACCTGGCTTGATGTTTGAACAACAGGCCTTGTTTTTTCATGAGAAGGCAGGTTGATGAAGGCTTATTGTATGCTTAAAAAATGATGGTGCTATCCATCCTTTCACTTCAGCTCCTAGCAGGAAATTAATAACAAGCCTGTATGCTGTGCAGATGGGTTCCAATACACCGGGTTATTCCAATGTAAGAAAACATTTTTTTTCTGACTTGTGCATACATTCAATAAAGGTGTGTTTATGTTTATCTGTTACTGAAAATACTGCAGGTTTGTGAAGAATCTGAGTACCAACAAAGAAGGATTAGTGCCTGCCAGCAATCTTATGACTCTCATTGGGACTTCCAAGTCAGTACATTCTCTCAGTAGTTCAGGTAAGATTATGTATAGTCAGGCTTTCTTTTGTTGATTATCTTTTTCAATGGTGATGCTAATACATATTTGGTTTTTTGTCATGCTGTGTAGAGTCAGGAACTGCTTCAAGCACTTTAAGCACCTCATCGAGTTGCAGCGAAAGCTGTAATGCCAGTAGCACCAGCTTTTCAGATATCAAGGGCTGAACGTCAACAAAGTATGAACAAGGCAGGAATGACCCAGTTGGCTAAGTCCAGACTGCAAATCGAACGAGAAGAACTAGGAGGAAAGATGCCTGGCAGAGGTCTGAAAATGAAGATGAATACCTGTCCCACCAAATAGGCACAAAGTGCCTTTATACCTCTCCCTGCCCAGTTGCATGCAAGCAATCCAAGCCAATTAATATGGTAGTAAAGGAGGTATGATGTTACGTGCCAGAGTGACTAAAGGGGTCGAACACTGCACTTTCTGTATTTGACATTCAGTTTACACAACTGAAATCAGTGTTTACGCCATCAACATTTCACCTTCTAGTGGTGAAAACCATCACCGCTGCAGGACGCGTCTCAGTGTGACATCAAATATGGATGGTGCTTTAGCTCCACATTCCAAGACAGTGCACTGTCTGCAAGTGCATCCAGTTATTCACATGCAGGTGCAAAATGAATCTGTAAAGACTATTATACTTTGTACTTTTTTTTACAGTGTTGATTAGATGTTTTGTGACTCAATTTTTAAAAAAAGAAAAAAAAACTGTCAGTTTTACATGGCACGGGAATTTGATACAAAATTATTTTTTTCCATACTTCAGAAGCAAGCCTTTGTAACTGTATAACACCAAGTGTATTAGATTAGCTTGCATTGGATTATGTGGGAAATAGCTAACCCAAAACACTGAATTGACCCGGTGTTTCAGGAAGCCTTTGGGAAAGCATAAACCACAATATACACTGAGAATATTTTAAACACACTAGTTAAAAAAATTATATACAGTAGAGCACTTTTATTTTTATTAGCAGAAGGAATATGAGGGAGAATAACATGTTTCAGGCTCAGTTGATGTTTTATTCAGCACTCTTCTGCCCATAGTATATTTCTAGTTCTAAGGTGCCCATGCATGGAGTAAAATTGTCACAAAAATTAAACAATTTCACCTCTGATTGTCCGGACGTTGATCCCAACATTATTCTTCCTATAATTGGGTTTGAAAATTTCTAATGATTGTCCTCAGGTGCATAAACAGACATGCACTGGTACTGTGTGTATAGAACTTAAGATTTAGGTTACCATAAGGATGCTGTGCATTGTGTGTTTACCACGAGTGAAAGCAGAATCATCCCCAAGGGTGGTTCCTTCTTTTGGATGGTCAGTAAACCTCATGTATAGATATCATATATTAACACTTATGTCCATGGTTTACTCATTGAGCATAATTGTGGCTCCCAATCTCTTATTCCCAGCTGGGCTGGTTTTCAAAACTGGATTGGACACTTTACAAGTATTTCTTTTTTCATTATTAAATTATTTTCAGATTGCTGTTTTACTTATCTGGTCATGTGGACATGCTTTCTTTCTCATAGTGTGGCAACATGCAATTTAGCCATAGCAACAGATGATCACATCTGGATGATTTGGGCTTGATTGGGTGCCAGTCTTCTATCTGTGGACACCAAAGGAATCTCTGGTTTTCTGGGGCAAATACTAAGCAGGCAGGACATGTCAAATTGCTGTTGTTTTCCCTGTTATGAGATTTTCTCACAGGTGTCTGCCCACATTTTCTCCCTCCACCCCCAATCACATACACACATTTCGGTGCCTAAGTGACTGAATCAACAAAAGTAAAACAAAGACCTCCCTGTAAGGAAAAGATTTACTATTTAGCTTTCCCACTGCTCATGCCACTGCTTTTTGCACTATATCACTACAGGACACTGTTAGTCAAGTAGGGCTGGCAGAAGGAACCACAGCACTCAGAGGGGATACAGGCATCCCACACTTCCTGAAGTGTGTAGGATGCTAAAGATTCTTCAGCCACCATAGCTCTTCAACATAGCAAAGACTGGTGGCATGGGTGACAGGACAAGATAAGTGTTAACCTTTCTTTACAGAGAGGCCCATTTTTAAGCTTTTAAATACAGTGACAGTCTTGGTTTTTATTGAGAAACTGGCCAAGAACACAGTGTAGGATAGACTGTTTATGCACATCTGAGTTCTGTGTCCATCTTTACATTACTTGTAAACAGGACCATATCAAGGCATCTTTAAACAGTTACTCGAAAGCTTCATTCAACCTGCGGATTGGACTAAGAAAATAGAACAGATTCTCCATTAATGCTTATGAGTGTGGATGGAGGAATCTCCTGCTGTTTCCATTACATTGACTGCTAGCGCCATTCGGCTGAAAATTTTCCAACCTGCTCCTTCGACCAGCTAACCAAGGGATGCTGGGCGTAAGGGTGCAAACAGAGGCACCCGCTCTATGAATTTCAGCTGGTTCATCAAGAACCAGACAAAATTTGCACCATGTACACCCTACTTTACTGTCTGTCAGGAAAATGCAGTCACGATGTAACTACTACTATTGCCTCCACAATGATCCTAATATGCAGGCTGGGCAGACATTTGTGGCACTTTAATTTCTGATAACATTAGTGGTCATCATAATTTCAGAACTGTTGTATAGTATATCTCTGTACTAAATCTGATGCACATAGCTGATTTCCCAGAGTAGGCTGGGTGAATCTTTGTTATATTTTTTTATTGGAAAGTTTATTCCTGATATATAACTATTAAGAGACCCTAAATGCTGTGTACCCTAAAGAAGCATCAAAATGTATAGTGTGACAAATAAAAAAGCAACTGCCCTTACATTAGCAGCTCCATAGTAATCCTACAAATGTTCAACGTGTAATATTTTCCTTTTGGTATTTAGATTATACCACCAGTTTATGTATAATATTCTCTATCTTAGTTTTACAAGACCATTGCAATCTAAAACTTAAACAAAATTGGCTTTAAAGAAGTTTCTGTTAAATGTAGGCTTATGTAAATCATTAAGGTGAGCAATGCTTTTAATGATAAAAGGATCAGCCAACGATTGGGATGTCTGTGCAGTGCTGCAGACCTAAGCATTATCCCTAGAAAACCTTGCGTAGGTCACTGGCCAGCATGGAACTTATGACTGAAATAGGAAAAATATGATGCTTGTATTGGCAGACATGTGCACATGCAGATCTATGCCCATTATTAGAAATAAAGACCTTGTTTAGTGATTGTGAAGATCAACTACCACGTACTGCCTATAGTGGCATTCAGATTTCCTCAAGTTCATTCTAGCGTATTTTCCTACAATTCCATTAAAAACAGGGTACACACTTCAGGTACTATGTATACTTTTAGTGTTTCACTGCTGATCCCTTCCTGTTTGACTGTTAAATATAATTTAGTTTTCGCACTCAGTTCAGTAATCTGCGGGCCTTGAATCTGAACTTTTCTTTTTCTTATCTAAAAACGAAGGAGGTCAAGATAAGGAGGTTTATTAAATAGCAAAAATCTTTCAAAATCAGTGGGATATCCTCCCGCAGAGAAGCCAGCCAATACATATGCCAGTCTTTCTCTCTGAAATCTTTTCATTTCACATATTCCAAGCAAGTTTTACCAAATACTAGAGAAAATTAGAAAAATAATTGCTATAGTAAATTACATAACAATATATGCTTATATGATAACTGCAGGAGATATCCAGACTGATTTACTAAGGAGTTGAGAATCTTAACACAATAAACTGTATGAATAAAATTCAGTTATGCAATCATGTGAAAGAAAAGTTACTGTGTACATATTTAATCTACAGACGGTTGGATATTTGAATTAAGTGAATACACTTTATTGTGTCATTAACTCCTTGGTAAATCAGCTTTGTCTGTAATTGTGAATTCTATTTTTATATGAGTATGGGAGAGCATGCATTATGACAGAGTTCTTCTATAAAAGAGAGTGCACAGAACCAATAAAAATGTAATGTAGGTTATAATGTAGGATCTGTTACGTGAATTCAGTGAAACAATGCAGACATAAATAAATATATATTAAAAAACACAGGTTTGCACATTAAAGAAAATGCAACATTAAAACTACATATAGTCATTTATTATTTCCCCCCAGCATTGATTGTTCTTAAACAAGTCAAAAATGGGAGCAAAATGTTTGCTTATTTGATAAGTTTTCAAAAATTCTCTATCGGGATCAATTTTTTAGATTGGAGAACTCATAGGTGCCAAACTCATAGTACCAAACTAGCAAACTCTTTTCCTAACTCATGTGATAACTGAGAATTAGCAATACTTCTGTATATATATAATCTATTTATAAAACCAATATATATAAAACAAGATAAAAGATGCCTTGTGGTTGTGCTAACCTTAGAATTCAGCTTATTGTAAAATAATCACTGCATGCTTACTACCATCATATCCCAGCTGCAGAATTAGAGATCAATGTCCTTCCATTGTATAGTAGCTCGTTAGCTTTTTCTTACTATGTTGGCCATACAATTGTGGGCTAATGCTTGCTTTGGCTTCCAGGATGCTATTCTAGTCTTTTTGGCCAAACATTAGCCAAAGCAGGAAGATGAAAGATCTCTCAAACTGTGCAGCTACCTCCCATTTTCACAAAAAGGTCACTTGGCACAATGAGTTTGATATGATGGTGTGCATTAGGTGCACAGTGCTTATACATTTTTCCCTCAGCCCTATTATTCTTGAGCAGTGTTTTTAAAGGAATTCTTTATTAAAAACAGAAGGGGAAGAAATTGGCATAATTCAGCAAAGATGGAGTCAGATGCATCTCTAAATGGATCACTATCTTTTTACAACACTTGTTTTTTCTGTGTTGCAAAATATACATTACCTGGAAGTTGAAGCCTTTCCTCAGTTCAGTTAAGCTTGCCATACACCAGTAGAATATCATGTACATTTTAAGAATGTTCATTCCATTTTTTAATGGTTAGTGGAGTCTAATCAATGTTTGTTTTCAGCTATAGCGAGGAGGAAATTAAATTCTAATCGTGAATGCCATCTTCATGCGGGTAAAATCATACATGTTGTTGTAATGGGCACACAAAAAACCTGTTTAATACCATAGGGGGTTCCATTCAAGTAGCAGATCTGGGGCAAATTTCTAAGGGCTTTCGCACTAAATTAGTTGGCTCGATGGCAAGATCAAATGTTCCGACGAACTATTCAAACGAAATTCTAACAGTGTATGGCCAGCTTTAGTTTGCAGTTTAATTGGTAATAATTGGAGGCACCACTATAGCAGAATACACTGGTAAACAAAAGGGAATTAGGATCATGTGACAATCTGTTGTCCTTTGAATACAATACACCATTACTAGGGTGACTGTATTATATAGGGATATTTAGTCTGTGGTGATACAGCAATTTGCACAGATGTGGGCTTCTCTAGTATATTGTAAGTTATTTGTAAATACTTTGTACAATATTTGACTGTTATTGAATAATATTGTGTAGACATTTGTGGTAAACATTATTTTTCTCATGGGAGTTTGTCAATATTTGCCTGTGATTTATAAGTACTTGTCACTGCACTTTACAGGAAACATCTCATCTGTTTATTTTTCTGCCATTGATGTATATTTCAGTACAGAATGCGAAATATTGTATGTATGACGATTTCCTGAAAACATTTCAGCAACACATCGTATTTCCCTGCTGTATGTCTTTATAAAAAAAAGTACTAATTTTAAATTGTGTTTTGTGGTCTCTTATTACAACATCTGTGAAGACAGCCGATGTCCAGGAATGGAATGGGTTCTCTTTAGAGTCGAGCTTCATTTCAGATATCCGTCATCTCCCAGTTCACAAGGTGCACAATACTCTGTTCTAAGTCAGTATCTACCAATATAGTTAAAGCAACCTATTTCCAAAGTAGCCAATCTAACCATTCTGGTGCCCCGACTACACCACTATGTTCGCAAGATATCCCTGGCTGAAGTCTGGCAGTCTGGGAGTGTTGATCTTCTAGGTCCCCATTAGAGTTCACTGGCTCCCCCCGACTTCCATGTTATTACGGAGTCCTGTAATGATGTGGAGGTCAGAATGAAGAAACCACTAAATAAGGCCGCAGACCTTGGAAACTGACACTCCTAAAATTGTTGGTTTCACATCGAACTTCAGCCAAGAATTTTATTGAAATGGAGATGCCGAAAGGTTACTGTTTACTTGCTTTTTTACAGTTACAGCTATTTTCACTTTTGATACCTATTTGAAGTCTTCCGCCAAAACAGTTTTCTTTTTATTTTGGATAAAATGTGGAAGAGTTAGAACACAGTAATTCTTATGCATTTTGGGTTATACTGCAGTTCAGGAGTTTTGGGCACTGGCAAGCAAAAAAACTATTAGCCAATTTCTTGGTATACTCAGAAGGGTCTGATGTCAACAATATAGATCCTGGGACCCCCATTACTATAGGGTCATCCTCATCAGTCTTGTACAGCTTTGGAGCATCAGACACCCCATCTGCCCACAAGACCTTTACTATCCACTTTGCATTTTTTATTGGCTTTTGCACAATGAATGCAGCAACCTGCTCACAAAGGTTCAAAGGGAACTCCCACAATTTCCACAGCATAATCCAATTCAGATCCTAATGGACCTGTACTGCTGTGTGCCTGAGGCCCATATTGCCATCTTTTCACGGCCTTCTTCTAATGAGCATGTATTTCAGCATTTAATTTACTCACCCTTTAAGGGTAGTCATCTCTGCTGCCCTTGGCACAGTTTTTCCTGATGTGTTCGGAATGTGCATCTGCCTCACACATTAAAAGCACTAGTGATTCTTTTGATTTACAGTTCTAATGTTAGGTTTGGCTGCAAATGTGCAGAGGTGGACAAAAGATGGAAGTTTTCGGTCTCCCCTAACCCAACTGCCCTAGGCACTGACCCACAATACCATTAAGGCAAGTACAGTCTTGTCAACCAGAATACAGTTAGCAATAAATGCCTTACAGGTCTATCTTTCCCCGACTCTATCCAAAATTTGAAACATGTTTCGGGTGGCGTTTAACATATTTTCTAATATTAATCATTTTGAGAGGCAGAAAGAATTGGCCTGCTCCATCCTCCAGTATAGAAAAACCTATGTGGGTAGAGATGAAATGATTGCTCCTCTGATGTGAGGTGGGCAAGAACTGAGCCTTCCTATCTGAGTGCCTGGATCTATTACCAAGTAAAAGCCTATACCAATATTTGTGTACTTCATCACTGGCTTTCTACTGTATCATTTCATGTTTATTAGCCCAGATTAAGATGCTTTTAGGAGCATTACTATTCTGACTCCGATCGTTGTGATAGCGAAATATATCCCTTGCTGAGACCTCTATGCCTGGCCTGTATAAGCAGATATACTCACTGCGGACAATCCTCGTCAGATAGCTGAACTCGTCAATACCGATTCATTCAAAAGAGGTGTTTATTCTTTAACATCAGGTTACAGCAGATGATAGGAACAGCAGTTGAACGGTTATAGTATTGTGCGGTCAAAAGATGATGCCTTTCCTACGTACTGTGCAGATTACATATGTGTCCTTGTTACATGTGGCTGTTCACTGTGCCCATGACACAGGAAGTACTGCACACAGGAAGCAGGAAGGGGCGTACACTAGGGGAAAATACGTCGTCACATAAATGTTTTGTTCTACCTCGTGCAGTAAAATCTGCTCACTTTGAGCAATGTCTTTTGCAAAAAGAAGATTTTGGCATATGTGCCAGTCCTGACAGTAGGCATCTGTGGGCTTAGTGTGTTGGCAGTGTGTAGCATGGACTAACCTTGTTGTAGTGCGGTCAGGCCTTGTCCACTTGGAGAAACGTCCATAGTGTTGACAGCCCAAGACGTGTCCTTGTTCAGTTCTGGTTACAAGGGTTTTGCCTT